CAAATTTGGCTACAAACATTTTTGTATACAAAATTTTCTTGTATTTTGGACCATTTCGCCCTTCCTCTTCTTGTTTTATTAGGTATATTTCCATTTTAATTAATTATACGATTAAGATTTTTAAAGTTATAAAATCTTAAATCGTAATTACATAATTAATATACTTTAGGCGACTTATTCCTAATCAGTGGCGTGCCGTGACATTTGATGATAGGGATGCTGTGTTTCTGTAAGAAGCCGACTTTCAGGAGCAATCAGTTAATTGCGCGTCAGTGATGGTCTAAGGTCAATTCGTATCGTTTGTTCGATAAGCCAGTAAAAACCGTAAACTTCTCTAAATGTATTTTTAATATTACAATTACATTCTGAATCGCTAGCCACGATATAAAGGCGACAATTAAAAATAAAATAACGAAAACTTACTAGGTGAAATAAAATATGTGGTGAATGTACAGTACACACCTGGTACAAAATATTCTTCAGTTGTATGAATATACTTTTAAAGAAAATTATAATTAAATATAGCTTTGTAAAGAAACGTATTATAAAAGTAATATAAAATATTCTTTATTGTTTAAATCTTAAAACGATCCACTTAGTCAAAAAGCTTCCTACGAGTGGCTAATGGATGGAATCAGAAACGGTCCTGGTAGGCGTGCAGTGCGTGCATGCATCCGGGCGGCCAAATCCCGAGGGTGCCGATACCGGTCAATGTCAAATGCCTCTTTTGTCGCATCACTAGTATACCTCAAAGGACGCGACAAGTTGTTGTAAATTTTCTCGTCATAGCTGTAAAAATCTAAATATGTTAAACTTAATAGATTGTCTATCGTTTGTTTTCGTTTTAGGACCAGATGTCCACGGAATTTCCAAAATTTACTTTTCAGTCACTTTCACTGAACTGGAAAAATTTGTCTTATTACATCTAATATTAAGAAGAAATCAATCTGACTGTACTCGACTAGAGATTGGTTCTGGTTACTACCAAAGTTTAATAGCATCAATGCTTCTTATGCCTCAAGCTACCATATCACATTTTATTTCTTAATCATTACTTCATCCTGAGATGTTAACTGTTAGACATCCTATGGTCCTCTTGTTATAGCTTGTGGATAAGAGGCATTGATGCTATTAAACTTCTGGTTTTGAGTCGCTACCAAGGAAGCTTGTTCGCTTCCTTGGTAGCGACTCAAACTGACAAATCTTGTAAAGTAACGACTCGAACGAAATTTTGCTAATAAAATGGCGTGTTGTGACAGATGTCAAACTTTAAAGTTCTTAGAACGGGAGATTTAAGAGAACAAAGATTATCGTCTGTAAGTAATACAAGATGGGAGAGAAAAATAAAAGCAAAATAAATATATGAAATATTTTAATGGATTTTTTAAAATTCCTGTCAATTATACAGAACTATCATAAAAACATACCAGTAAACTCCTATCGGCGAATTAAGTTATAAACAGGGCTGTGGAGTCGCGTAAAAATCTACCGACTCCAACTCCGACTCCGACCAGGGGCGGACTTGTTACCGAAAGAGACCCGAAATTCTGATATCATCACGTGACCTCAAAAACCTCAAAATAAAAGATTCAATAAATAGAATTCTAATAAAGATAGAACGTAGAAACTTTTTATTTCAAAGCTAAAAGACTCCTCTAAGTAATATATAAATATGTATTCGATAATTTTTACTTTTCCGCCTGTTATATATAAAAGAGGATATATAACAAAGTGTAGCGCTCGGTCAAAAAAATGACCCCTCCCAAATTTTTACATTTTTGGACTCAGAACACCTGAAATTTCGAGTTAATTAAGCAAAATATTCGAGGTTTTTTCTATATGTGTGGATGTTAGACTGTGTAGGGGGGCGTGATTTTGTTCACCCTGTTTGAAGCCTAATAATTTCTGTGGTCAAAGTGGTCAGAATCGGAGTCAGATGGTTTAACACAGGAGTTAGTTATTAAGCGTCAAAGTGGTTGAATTAAACCGTGTCCCCATACACATTCTAACATCTTAAGCGAGAACATCTTAACTGTTTTACTGTACTATTATAAAATAACAAAAAAATTTGAGAGTAGAGACAAGTTTTATTTTATTTTTTTAAATTTTGAGCGCTAATAACGAGTAAAATATTCATTAAGAGATATGACACATGACCACTTTTATGTCTTCACCCCGTCGACCTTTAATTAAGAACCAAAATTTAATTAGTATTAATGCCCCTTTATACGCAAGCTACAGTGCCACATTTCGTTTCTTAAACTTTACCTATTTTGAGATATTGTTTAATATCTCAGAACAGAAAATAAAGAAATTAAACAAATTAGACGCAAACACACACACACAATTTTTCCCCTTTTATTGACTTTTTTGAGAGGTTCGGGAGGTCTCCAAACGTGTAGATTTGTAAAAAAAACTTGGAGGGTCAAATTTGACACGATTCCAATACTTTTCCGTTTTATATACATAACAAGTTGGTAAGTAAAAAGGAGTCGGAGTCGGCGGATTTTTTGACGACTCCGACTCCGGCTAAAACACCAAAACTCCACGACTCTGACTCCGACTACGACTCCACAGCCCTGGTTATAAATCTACTCGTGATTTGTTCATTTATTCCGCCACTGATATTCGAATATATAATAGCAATCTTATCGTTTTTTTCACATGTAGTATAGAAATTTGTAATAAGATATATAATGCGGTCATAATAAAATATTAATTTTAATTATATGAAAATAATCGCACAATATGTATTTATTGTTTAGAAAATACAAGGGAAGCGGCACTTCCACCGCTTCCAATGACTGCACGCCACTATTTGCCATATCACGCACCGAATGGTTGGTCCCTTACGAGTATTACGTAGTTCATCCAAATTTGATCCCGAACCCCAGATCGGTGAGTTGACAAGGCCATCCAATAGTCAAATAATTTTATGGTTTGGAGTTCTTGAAAATTCGGTCAGTCGATGAGGAACTTCACAGTAAAACCCAATGTTATTTTAAGAAAACAGTCACGAGAAAAACGCAATGTTAACAATGGAAATGTGCAGTTCATTTCAGATGTTGGAGTTTGAAGACGCATCATTGCTTCTTATCATACGAGTACATCATATAAAAGAAAGCTTGAACACATTTTCTTGACTAACAGTAATCAATTACTTTCTAAATTTACAGGTTATGCCAAGGACAATTTAAAAAAAATAAAAAAAAACATTACAATTTAACATTTCTTCTTCATTGTAAATTTTTGTCTGTTTTTCTAAAAAATCTATTTCTAGTTCTATGTTGCAAGTATTTGTTATTCCGTATCGTTGACATAATTTTTATGGCATGAAATGAAGAAAGTAGAGTACATCCATCCCAAAAATGACGAATATGCGTTTACCAGAAGTGAGAGGAAAACATTCATATGTACTGTACAGTACATTCAGGTAAATAACACTCATATATATATCATATTCTGACTTAACAAGATAAATCTTTTGTCTAGGTATGGAGAATTTTATTGCCTTGCGTAAAACAATTTCACAACTATAACACAAGAATTTCACATATGAAAGAATGAGTTAAAACACTCACTACTGTGATAAATGAGAATATGTTGCATTTGTAACAAAAGAATGTTACATTTTAAAAATATTTGTTTCATTCTTTTATCCTATTAGAAATAATTTTATTTGACTAGTAATTGAAAATAAAATAAAATAAACATAAATGTAAATTTTAAGAATTTTATTTAAATTAACTAATTAAAATAACAAAATTTACAAACCAGCAATAAATTATTAAAAGTCTTAACTCTTTGAAATATATGTAGAATACTTTGGAGGAAGACGCACGTAAGTAATGTTCTTACGCATAGTTTCGATTTTTGACTCCAAGACCTTTCAAAGCTTTGCAAGTTTTCAAAGATTTTGAATTAGATTGAATAGGTTATCTTCCTATAGAAATCATCGTAAAATTCTCGGATTTGAGTTGTCTCTGAAGTGTTCGTTGCGGCAACGGATACTTTTTGATGACTCCTGCAATTGTCATTTCTCTTTCCTTCACATTATGCAGTAATGCTTCCTTTCAACTTTTCCTGATGGTTTACCACTTGTATTCGCGAACTATTTTGCAAATTTAAAATATATAGTATTAGTGTAGCAAAGAACATAATAAAACAACTTTACAATTCGCTGAATAATCGAAAATCATTGCTAACAATTGCTAATTTCCATTAATTATGGTAAATTGCACACTATAATCTTCTCTAACTTTCCGTGAGAATCTTTCTCTAAATGTTGTCTGGCACGAAACACGGATGCTATTTCTAACACTGATCAACTTCAATAACCAATAATTAACTTAACTTTCTAGATGTGCGCAGATTACATGTCATTGATATATACACAAAAGCATGCAAACGGCTATCCGTTCGATATCCCATGTCGTGGAGAAGAGTTGTCACTTTGTACATATTACAAGGTGCTCATCTTACTCCAAACTATTTTAATGCCAAAATCTTTTTTGTAGTATCATATCTGCAGCCTTTTCAGCGATCATAACGGTAGGTGCATTGAGATTTCCTGAGACGATATTTGGCATTATAGAAGCATCGACTACGCGTAGACCCGAAACACCTTTCACCCTAAAAAAGATTTAAAATGATATTAGTCATACATTCGTTGACAACATAAAGTAATGTACCGAAATAAAATTGCCCGTTACTGTGGAACTCGGTATACAGATATACTTCGTACTGTTCTGATCCGATTTTCACTTCAAGCAGTGTTACCAAAGTAATTAAAATCGCTACCGCAGAACTTTATTAAAAGGCTCAGAGTAGCTCACAGTGTTTCAGTTTCAGTGTGCCAGTCCTTTGTAGATTTCGAATGCCAGACATACTTGTGTGATGCGACGGGCATTACATTACTCATAACTGAAGGGCTTTGACAAAGGTTGTATCTTCGGGCTGGTTTCCACCAGCCCGAAGATGGCTTGCCGTTTCACCTAATTTCTCAACATCTGGATCGTTCTGAATTGACTATAAAAAGGTGATCGGAACAGTGGATATGTCAGTGCACAAACACCACGGTTATGTTCTGGACGCTTTCAGGCAGACGTCTGATCATGAGGCAAGTACGAACAGTTCGTCTCTGGAGTTGATCGTACTTGCCTCAAACGAGCATCCAGAGACATCTGCAAGTCTCGCTACAAAACTCCTTTTCTTTCCTGAAAATTTTCTTTGCTAGTTTTCAAAGAATAAATAGAGGCACTGCAATCACTACGTGTGTTACTATTAGCATCCTAACATCGTCGGCTTCGATTGCAATGGTGCCGTGACAGAGAAGCATGGACTGCTATAACTGGCAACATATAGTTTTTAACAATAAATTCCGATTCTGTTTGAGAACGGAAGACAACTATTTTAGACGACATACTATGGGAGACACTGGTGAGCTCTTTGATTCCGCCATTATTGGTGAAGACATACTACCCATTGCTAGCGTGTTGGCTGGCTGGTCTTTGACACTCGGTCATTCCTAATGGTGGCAAGAGGAGTATTAGCGGCAAAACAACGATACGTTTAGGAAATCTTACTCTTTCATGTGCTGCTTTTCATTACAGGGTTGCAATCCATCTACAACCTCGACAAAAATAGCCTCAAACGGCATGTTATTTTAATCTATTTCTAGCTTATCCTTCAATAATGTCAAACAGAAAAATTTTGGACATTTATAATTATTTTACATTAGTAACTTTTATTATACATAAAGATTTTACATAAAATTTTTAAGTTAATAATACATAAGAAAAAGTTATCATCAATTGAAAAAAGCATCTGTGTCAAAAAAAAAAAAAATTAAATGACCTGCTCCTAAATCTGTAAATGAGTTGACATGTGATATTTGCATATTTTTATTATTAACATTATTAACATCTGAGATGTATTTTTTTAATGAAAATGGCACCCGGTAAGGCTGTAAGTGTTGATGTACGTGAAATAATTATCATCCTGCATAGACAGGGCAAATCCTTAAAAAAGTTGCGAAAGAATAAAACATTGCTAATTCCACAGTGTGAGGCATTACGTGTATTTCAAAATATCAGTAAACTGGTCTAATTCATCCAGAAAAATCAACTGGAGGGCCAACAACCATAACAAAGACTGATCACAAGCACTTTTATGAAATAATGTAAAAAAACGAGGGGCATCACTCAGTGAATTAGTGAACGAATGGAATAAAGTTATTGGAAAAGAAGTTACAAAAAAAATTTGTGGTATCCATGTGCACAAACTTGGCTACGGCTTGTATCAGGTAAGAAAATATATCACTTTTCACAATAACACAAATAAAACCGATTAAATTGCGCAAAGAGCAACAATGCTGGACACAACAACAGTGGAAGCAGGTTAATTTTGGTGATGAGGCAAAGTCTGAAGTCTACATTGGATACAATAGAAAAAAGTCATTAGAAAGCAAGAGGCATTTCATCATGACTGTCTACAACGCACTATAAAATTCCCAGCAAGTGTTATGGTGTGGGGTTGCTTGCGAGCCCAAGGTGTGAAAATTTTGCATTTCAATAAGGAATTAGTAAAAGCAGCAAAATATCAAAACTCCTCGAAGAAACGCTAATTAGAAAAATTACAATATCATGTATTTTATTTTCCAGCAGGATGGTGCAAGTTTCCATACTGCAAAAACCACCGAGGCTTGGCTGGCCCAACATAATATTAACATATTAAAATAGCCATCGAGCAGTTCCGACCTTTCCCCTGTAGAAAATGCGGGGAAAAATTAAAAATAGCATTGAGAAATTGTTCTCAAAGAAGAGTGGATGGTTTAAACTTTTAAGCAAAAAATCAAGCAAATTTGGAATGAAATTACTCGAAATGAATGCCTGGCTCTTGTTAATACGATGAATTACAATATGAAAGCCAAAGGTTAAATATTTTACATGTTATCAGTATTTACAATTTCTTCTTTTTATTAAATTGACTTTTACCTTCAAAATTAAGCTTTTTGACATTTTATAATAATTAATAAGAAGTTTTTAAAATAAAATCTTATAACAGTTGGCGCCAAATACAATTTATTGGAAAAGTTATGCAAGTCGTTGCTGAAATTTTAGTTATTGGTAGCCACGTTCTGTCTAATAATACATCAATCAACACGTAAATGTGAACATATGTAACAATGACGCACGTGTATGTGAATACCTTTTCACATGTATAGCGTTATAGCTTAAGTTCAGTGGCGGATTACCAAATAGGAGCACTACGCGAGCGCCTTGGACCTCGACGTCTAGTAAAACTAAATAGCAAAAATAATATGCCTCTAAGACTTTATAATATACGTTTTAAACGTTTACTAAAGAAAAACTTGTTATTATTCAAGAATTTTATTTGTTAACCAAATTGAGCCTAGGGCTTCAAAGAAACATAATCCGCTACGTACTGCCTACCAGAGTGGAAAACGTGCGCGTAGATTGCACATTGTAGGTTGTAAGGGCAGTGAAAATATTTAGAGAGAAATCTCAAAATTGAATTGCGCCTGGAGCCTCTCAAGTACTAAATCCGCCACTGGGTACGTTTAAAAATACGTACGCATATAGACGTGTGAAAATTTTTTTTTTTGGTGCAGGTATTGTATATTAAGCACAGAACACTACGTAAAATGTGTATTTCGCCTTCACGTACAAATCTATGTGAATGTAACATGACTTGCATCATTATCTATATTTTTATGTACGCTAAAGTAACTTCAGGGTTTATGTAGCCCATAACCTCTATTATTAAATATAAATGGACATCGTATGTAGTCTTTGGTCCATTTTAAAGTTGTCCCATTTTATAGATGTAAATGTACAAATATTCCAAATTTTGAAAAAATTCGAAATCTAGTAATCGTATAGTTTTAAAATTACTGGGAAATTGTATTATATTACATACTATTTTACACAAGGAATACGGAATTAATTTTTCAAAACCATCGTACATGTTTCGAATTTAATTTTGTTTCAATATTTCAATTTTAAATAAAAATTTTTACTTGATAACAATTATTATAGATTAGACTAAATTAGACTATTATTATCAACTAAATTAGACCATTACTATCAACTAAATTAAATTAGTAAGACTACTTACCTTAATTCAGGATCCACAACAGTAGTTGGGTCATTTACTGCTCCCATCTTGCATGTTCCCGCAGGATGATATAAAGTAAGTGTCAGAGTTCGCGCAAAACATTCCAATTGTTCTTTGCTAAATCTGCGAAACCTTTTACAACCCGGCAAATTAGTAGGAAATAAACGAGATCCTAACTTTTTAAAGGGGAACGATTTGGCTAAACGCAATGCTGACTGTATACCTACATTGGTAATTCAAAAAAATAAAATTAAAATTAAAAAAAATGATGTTAAATTTACCAGAAGCATTATAAAGTTACAGAAGAATATTTTTAATAAAAAAATTTAATTTTAGTAGGAAAAGAAATTAAAACATAATGTAATAAATACATTAAAAGACTTACCACTGACTAATCTCAAAATATCTTCAGGATGAGATAAATAATTCGGTTGGATTATTGGATACTGATAAGGATTGGCGCTTCTCAATTTTACATATCCACGACTTTTTGGTCGTAACAAAACAGTGAATATCGTAAATGTATCGTCGAAATCGAATGGTCTAAAATACGAATTATATACCTGAAAGATATCGCATATATATGTATCATTAATAAGTATTTCGGAAATATGTTAAAAATATTTAGGAAAAACTAACTTCTGTTTTTATTCCATATATTTCTTTCAAAACTTTGCCACCGTCGGAAGCCAATCCTCCCGATGAGAAAATATATTGAATATCGGGATAATCGTCAGATGCATTAGCATATTTAGTTTTTATAAACGCAACCGCTTCAATTGCCGAAGATAAAATCCCCGGTCCTTTTCAAAATGTTATTTTATTGTTAGTTTCGCTCTTACGAGAAAGATAAAATGTGGATAATTAATGGATTCATACCACTTCCAACAAAAACATAACGAAAAAAGTCCTTTGGATTCAGAAATCGCAATAGAACAGAAGTAACGGGTACATCAACTAAAGAATTTGTTCCCAAAACGAAAGGATGATCCTGGAGATTTAAACCTACTGGCAGATCTGAAATAACAGGAATCTGACAAGAAAGAGATTAATATGATATGATTATAGATTAAAAATAATCACATTTCGTCCTACGATTAATAAAAAAAAAATTATTACTTGAAGTTTCTCTAAATCTTTTTGCTGACCAATGCCTGATAACATTAGTAATTGAGGCGAATTTATCGCACCTGCTGATATTATTATCTCTTTCCTTGCATTTACGATATATGTCTGACCAAAGCGATCAAAAGTAACGGCTCTTGCTCTCTTGAATTTATCAAATATTATCTGTATAAAATGAATACTTTAGAATTATTATATTGACAAGTTAATATAGTGTACTATTTTAAATGCGAATTTTTGTGTTTTTGCGGAAAATCGAGCATATTTTCAGACCCATCTATAAATTTTCTAATCAGCTTCGGAAGAAGGAATAAAGTTTATCTTTCGTAAGGATTTATCACACTAATCTAACACATTTTAAAATTCTTTATTGGTCTACTGTACACAGTTTCAAGAATTTTTAAGATGTGTTAGAGTAGGAATTCGATTTGATAAACTCTTACGTAAGATAACCTTTGTAAATATTAATCAAATGCTATAATATAATATAGTAGAAGGTTAAGAAGTAAGAAATAATCTAATAATCTTAACCTTTGCTGTTGTTATTTTGTGTTGGAGCAACGCTGGGGTCATATGCATATGCTAGTTATCTTATAAAAGGTTTATTCTTTGTCAAGGAGCGAAATAATATAATGTGAGCAAATAGTAACTAGAGTATGAAAAACAGGACGGCCAGATGGCCGAGCGGCTTAGATGGCATCACCCACCACCTTGTGGGATCCAGAATCGAATCCTACACGGGTCGAAAATTCCCCAGGCAATCTTCGAGGGTTGGTCTGACCGAATACGTTCGGCACCCCTCACCACTCAATCGCCATTGTGGGCGTAGCTCGAACCCATAATTTTCTTTCTAAAAGAGGTTTTCTTGGAGCCCACAGGGTAGAAAGAGTTTTTAAAAATATATGAAAAACAGTATATGTTAAAATGGAAGTCTACTGCTCTGGGAGCCTGGGATCGAATGTGGACGGGCCAAAAATCCCAGGAAGTTTTTTCGAAATGTTCTGTATGAATATGTCATTTCTCATCACCCAGCCGTTCCTTTGTGAACCTATACGAACCCACAATGGACTAGATAATAAAAGGTTCTCAGTTCCCCATAGGGAGGGAAAAGTCGAAAAAAATATTGTTACATTTTCGTATGAAATGACGCATGATTGTGATGTAAATATATATTTTCATTCTTTTCGGATTTGAACTTTTATATTTTAACAGTTGTAACTAAACACGAGAAATGTAAAGAATAATATTACTTATCATTTCACATAAAATCTTAAATGATAGAATTGTGCAATATGAAGAAAGTTTCTTCTATCTTATTATATATAGGCCTATATATATATAATGTATATAAGGCTTTAGAGAAGTGTTTATGACTGAATCGGTAATATTTTATATATGTTAAATCATTTTTTGCATATAATACTGAACCCATTGCCTTTTATCGCTTAATGCTTAATATATTTTGCTATTAATTATTGTTAATTGTGTGTAATGCTGTCCACGGCTGGATTGATTATAGAAAGAACAGAAAAAAAATTATATCTATTGTATCTATTGTACAGTACGTATAAAGATAACATCAGTTTGTTTAATTGTGATGTCTTCTTTGTTATTTAAGCCTTTTTTATGGAACTTTTATGTATATTTTGATTTGTTATCTTTATAAAAACACCAACTGGACTTCATTTTGGATGTATTGTATACGTTTTAGATTCAATTATTGTAAAAATTCTTTATTGTGTTGTAAATTTCGATATCTTTTGTAATATCATTGGTGTGATAAGCCCTAAAATTTAAAGAACTGGTTATCACATAACATATAGGGAGATCGGGACAACTTCGGCATGCGGGGCAAGTTTGTCAAGCGCTTTTTTTTAAAAACAAATTAAAAAAAAACTTTGATTATAGGTTAGGCAGTTGAGTTCCATTGGTGGCTTGCTGAGTGTAGTGTTTTTATTGTTCTCCAACAAGCGTAGTTGAATTATCAAGCAAATTTTCATTTTCGTTCAATTCCATATAATATTTTTTTTCCATTTATATTGAATTGGCAGGTTTTGTTATAATTCCATGATAACGAAAGTTACTTTTCCTGTTAGAAGGATGTAACTTCAACTTATTCACGTGGCCAGATCGTGGCTTGGCATTCTGTTCTCAGGGTTGTACTTAATGTTTCGAAATCATGACTAGCGGGGTAAGATCGGCAACATAAAGCCACATTAGAAGCAAAGGATAAAAATCAAACAGATGATAAATGAAAACATGTTTGCATTTGTTATTCATGTATATATGTCTTTGAACTTGCATTTCGTTGTAATAATATTAAATGGGTGTTGGATTTGTATTTCTTTGTTTTAATAGTGAATTCCAACTTATACATTGTTAATAACATAATTTTATATACGTGCCTATCTTGCCCCATTACTGTTGCCCCTATAC